GCAAGATTTCAGGAAGTGTGTGATACATTCAAACTGGATTACGACACATTCACTTTTATGACGTTATCTTATGTGCACACAAGTGGTCCGCAGGTGCGCACAATAAAAGACGCGCACCAGATAAGAACGTTTGCGTACATAGGATTTTCTGGTTGAGGACAGACATTTGTTTAGATCTCGAAGATGTCGAAGAAGTAAGCTCCTTTAAGCAATTACTTTTGTGTTCCTTCACCTCCAAAGAAATGTCAGAAGGAGCCCGAACCGCAACAAATGATGAACGCACAGAGATGTGGTGCAGAATATGCCGTGAAAATCCCAGCAGACAAAAACAGTGACTTTTATATGTACGCAAACGCACGTTGCAACTTCTTATCCGGTGCGCGTCTTTTATTTTGACAGCGAATGCGCACCACTTATGTGCACCCCTATAACACTATATATGCTCTATATTATATACTAAAATAGTCATCATCAACTCATAATTACAAAAAACCCCAAACTGAAAAAGTTTTTCAACTTTGAATTCATGTTTATTATTAAATATTCTCTGTTCGGTTATGTCTCTTTGGGTTTGTGGTTTTGAATTCTTAGCAAGCGGTTCAGATTTTCATTATTTCTCTGGAAATTATTTGCCTTTTTTTAAAATATAGTTTTAGGTTTCAGTCAGAGTCAGTTTGCATGTCCCTGCTTTCTGCTAAATTATTTTATCCCCCCCCCCCTGATTTTTAGACCTGCATGTTGAAACAGTCTGCAGTGAAAACAAGCATAAAATCAGAAACTGATTGCAATGACATGGTCCTGGGTCTGTTTTCCAGTTTAGGTTATTTAAGTATTATAAATTCCTGGCTTGCCTAATGTTTATGTTGACTCTTGTATGTGTCCCTCTTACTCAATGTAGTTACCCTCTTAGCAGCTGCCTTGGTTTTATTCCCCCCTTTGTCTCAAGCCCAGTGCACTTCCTGTTTTATTTTGGTAAGTCTGCTATCTATCCCTTTGTCCTTTGTCAGTTCACTTTCTCCAGCTCCAGTGCTCTCTTTCCATAGTGTTTATTCTCCGATTTCTGTGAGTAGAGGTTTTCAGTTCCCTTTTGTATTTTGTGTTTCACCTTTTTCGTATTTTGGTCATCAGCCTAAATAAACGGCCTGTTTGTTTCACTCAGTCTGTCTGTGAGATTACATTTGGGCCCTCCACTAAATACCTATGACATGTGATCCTGTATTTGCTTGTGTTACACAATTCAGACTGCTACAGCATGAATAGGTGTTCTGACTTTGATTAAACCACCAGACATGGTGCAGCAGCACCAGGATCACAACTCCACAGTATCTGACTTGTCATGTACCGCTGCTGGTTTACACTGCCCCCTATTGGTGAATGGTGTGAAGGGTAGAGGAGAAAAAAAACTCACTACAAACAAAAGTGTCAAATCTCACTGGGTTTTTTTTTGTTTGTTTTGTTTTGTTTTTTTTCTCAGTTTTATATGTTAGGGTTTTTTTTACCCTACAATATTAAATGCCTTGAGGCAACAGCGATTTAGCTCTGTATAAATTAAATTTATGTCATTCAATTTTAAATGCCACTGGAACAATATGGTGGATACCCATGCCAACATAACATAACGAAATTTCTTACAAGCTGGAGGTTTTCAGAGAAAAGAAAATACATGACCGTAGATATGAAGTTTGGTAACTGGGAAAAATACATTACTGAGAACAAAATACTGAGAACAAAATACTGAGAACAAAATATCAAGTAGCTGCATGGTAAAAAAGGGCAACTTTTATTCGTAAATAAATGTACACACTTTTATATCTTTTCAATGTTTCTGACAAGACAATCTCAGGGTGGGCATTTGTCATCTCAACAATAAAACAGGAAAAAATCATTCCCCAACACATAGACTTAAGACTAAGATTAAACTGAAGATTTTAATATAATAAAGACATATCTAAAATTTGTATCAACTGTGGCATTTTTCTAAAATAACATGCTATTTCAGATAATTTGAGAGACAAGCTGACACTGGAACATTTGATTATTTATTCTTTGAAACTGAAAAACCATATTGGCCACAAGCACTTTTTCCTGACAAGATGGAGATTTAAAACAAATACTTATCCTTATATCCGTCTTCCTTTTCTGGAAAACAGTCTTTTATCTCCAGTACCACCACCTCCTCCTCTTTCACCTTATTCTCCACCATCATCTCCACCTTCTTCTTGTACTACTTTCTTAATTTGAGCATCATTTATCACTTTCCTCCTTATTGCTTCCCTGGCACTATTTCTTTTCAAAGGGATAAATTAGTGTCAGCATACTCCACTTCTTTTGGTCCACTGTTTAAGATCAGAGTCTGATTTTCTTCTAATAGGGAACCATCATATACCTGTTAGATAGAAAGTAAATAATATTAGTTGTTCATTTCTATCTGATATCTTTACATTCTTTTGTTATTAAATTGTTGTGACTTTTTTTGGCCTGATAATCAACTTGATGCAACGTCGAATCTTGAATTACTGTCATGCTTTGCAGTTTTTGTGTTTGTTGTTTTTGATCATGGCTGTTAAAGATGCATGTTTGCTCATTTATAGGTTCATGATTAGATTTTGGTTCACCAGAATAAGTCTGCAGGTTTCAGTGTTATAAAGCACCTCTTTTCCTGCTTAGTCTGCAAGTCCAGTCTGCTATGATTAGTGAATTTGTTTGGTTGGCACACAACCATAATTGTACTGTATCTGTAGTCATAACTCTATGAGCATGGGTAACAAAACGTTATAGTTTGACCATACACATTTCAAACTGAATCCCAACACAATTCATAAAAATGTTTTAACACTTGCAAAGTAACTGGCATTATGAGCAGTTATTTCTCTTCTAACGCATATGTTTTCAGTTGATCTGTTAGTGAAATTATGCACAAATTAACTTTCTCAATTTGAACTAAACTTGGCGGACAGACAAATGGTGGGTATGTAAAAGAAATCAGTTCATTGTGGAATGAAAATGGCCCATTTCCTTTCAAATTGTAGAAACCTTTTTTACAGTTCAAAAGAAACTTCTTTCAATGCTTAAAAAGTTAAAACTTCACTATAATCCTCATGCAGTACTTGTTTAATGGTTTCAAATTGGTTTTAATGTTTTTAATTTCAAAAGCTTTGGATCTTTGCAACTTTGCAGACTTTTAGTAGTACAAAAACAATTACGAAATATTAATCAATAAAGTGTAAATATGGCCACTTCATCATTCTAGACATGTGAGCAAAAACTCATATATTACCAGTTATATTAAAAAAAATGCCACATGAACATCACTACCTGTGGATCATCTTGACGTCTGTCCATCTCCAAAGTCTCATGAAGGTTTCCAGAGCTCTTCTGTTTTTTTCTGAGAATTATATTTTTTAAGAAGCAAATTCATGTTCAACCTTATTTACAGAGAAAACCTAATAATAATTAGAAAAGTAAATGCCGTACCTGTAATACTTTTTGGCCAAAAAGCAAACAACTGCTGTAAGAAGTGTCCCAATCAAAAAGGCAATGATGACTTTTAGGTATCCCTTGCTTAAATCTAACGGTTGCTCTGCACTCAAAGGAACAACATGGAAAAAAGCACATTTTTACCTTATTATATTTTGCACAAGTTAAATGTTTTCTTATGTGTTACTAAAAAAATAATTGTTGCGGTCAAAAATTGTTTATTTGAAAACATACCATATTTTTTAGAGTTGTTGTGGATTGTGAATTTTTCTTTAGCTTCTTCATTTCCATTGTTACTGACACATTCAAGAGTGATGTTGCCATGCTTTTCTACATTTAGGCTGACAGTGCTGTTGACTGTGTCATTTGACACAGCAGTAATGACAGAGTACTCAGTGTTGTTCTTGAGGGGCAACCACTGGATGGTAGGTAAAGGAAACCCTTCAATGATACACACACAGGTCAAGACCTGTGACTGAAGCACACATCCTGAACCATTTTGAATATTTGATAGCCCTGTAAAAAGAAATGCCAGATCATAAAAAAAAGTAAATTGTGAGTTTGGTATGAATATGAATTTCAGATTCAAGATTAGTGCTGTCTACTTACAAGTCACAGTCACACTGACATTTACGGTCACAATTGTGTCCAGATGTTTTGCAGCACAGATGTACTGTCCAGAATCTTTTGCTATCACATTTGGGATGAAAAGTGTTGCTGATCCAGTGTCATTGTGCAAATTAGCGTGAATTCCACTCTGAAGATTTGTGTTGTCACTAACTTTTTTCCACCCAATAAGAGCTGAAGGGATACTTTCAACACTGCAGGTCAAATTCAGAACATCTCCCTCATTAAGAGTTGTATTCCCAGTTATCAGTGGTCTCCTTTTATCTGTGGAACAGAATTCAGCAATTTATAATATGGAGGGCGAAAAAAGAATTATTCAAGATAACCTTTAAAGAATCATGAAAGACTAAGTTTCCTTGTTCCTCATACTGCTCTCCACGATTCACATCCCAACACTAAAAGAGGGAATATCCTTGGGAATAGAAGTAATATTGGTATCTCATCCATAATTAGATTTCAATTCACTTGTATTTCTCTTTTCCCAATTCAAACATTGAAGGCAAATCACACTCTGTGCTATGGAACGTTTTCTTGAGAGTCAGGTGTTTGGGAATGGAAAGAGAGTACCCAAATGCAGGACACACATACTGACTGACTATGGGCATGGTGTTTATTATAAAGATGGGATGAACAGAACATGGAAGGTTGAACTAAACTGATTAAGTGGGATGAACTGACAACACACATAAGGAATAGGCAATGACGAGACAAGAAACTGAGGGAAACTGAGGGCTTAAATACACTGCATATTGACAATGAATGGAAACAGGTGAGAACACAGCTGAACTAAATATAGTAGAAGATTGGTACTGTCTACTTACAAGTCACAGTCACATCAACATATAAGGTCAGAGTTGTGTCCAGATGTTTTGCTGTACAGATGTACTGTCCAGAATCTTCTGCTGTCACATTCTGGATGACAAGTGTAGCTGATCCAGTGTTATTGTGCAGATCAGTGTAAGTTCCAATATGAAGGTTTGTGTTGGAGATAGGTTTTTTCCACACAATAAGAGCTGGAGGGATACTTTCCACACTGCAGGTCAAATTCAGAACATCTCCCTCTTTAACAGTTGTATTCCCAATGATCAGAGGTTGCCTTAAATCTGTGGAGCAGATTTTAGTAATTTATTTAAGATAAAGAAGGATGAAATGGCTAAAACAAAAATATTGGAATATTCTAATGGATGACAAAACCTTTGACACAGACAGTGATTTTGTACAATACTTTTTCCATGTAGGGGGCATTTTGGCTAGCATGTTTCGGCTTTATTTTTGCCTTGATGATGCAGTGAGGGACACCAATGTCCTCGTTATTTACAGTATGGAGGGAAACAAAATAATTATTCAAGATACCTAAACACAGAAAGTGGGAATATCTTTCGATAAGATGATGTCTGACCATTCTCAAGTATAATAGGGAGCATGTTTTTGTCGGCATGGTTTAAGTTTCCTTGTTCCTCATACTGCTCAGTATTATTCACATCAAAACACTAAAAGAGGGAATATCCTTGGGAATAATAGTTAGTAATGTCATTAATAACATTAATGCAATTAAAATCCATTTTTTAATACAGTGGCAAATCAATCGATAATAAGTTTCCTTGGGGTAGTGTTTAGTACTTACATATGCTGGTAAGGGAGTCATAATTTAGTCTAAACATTTTAGGAAGTGTTTTAATTAATGTGGACTTTTGATGATATGATATTTTGTATTGATGAAGGGTAATAATAAGATCATCTATGTTATCTCTCTTTCAATTTACCAATTCACCTCTATTTCTCTTTTAACAATTCAAAAGTTGAAGGGACATCACACTCTAAATTTTGGAACACTTTATTAAACCTTTAAATAAAAGTATGGCTACTTTTCCAATATATTATAGTGAAATATTAGTGCTGTCTACTTACAAGTCACAGTCACATTGATGTAAGAAATCAGAGTTGTGTCCAGATGTTTTGCTGTACAGATGTACTGTCCAGAATCTTCTGCTGTCACATTCTGAATGACAAGTGTAGCTGATCCAGTGTCATTGCACAGATCAGTGTAAGTTCCAATATGAAGGTTTGTGTTGGAGATAGGATCTTTCCACACAATAAGAGCTGGAGGGATACTGTCCACACTGCAGGTCAAATTCAGAACATCTCCCTCTTTAACAGTTGTATTCCCATTGATCAGAGGTTGCCTTGAATCTGTGAAACACATTTTAGTAATTTATTTAAGAAAGAAAGGATGAAATGGCTAAAACAAAAATATTTTAATATAAATTTAACACCAAAAGAGGGAATGTCTTTCAAAAAACTGTTCCATTGCTCCAGTAGTTTTCCAGAGAAACAATGCCAAATTGTACAGTAGCTGCTCTGGCAGTGCATTGTGGCCTGATAACTATTGTTTTATTTTTGAAAATGTATTTCTATTTTCTTACCCACCTTTATCTTTATGTCATGACATTTAAAACAGGCTTACTGTAACAATACAGATCAAGGTTTTTGGCTACCTATCATGTTTATACAATTATGTGAAATTCTAAACTTTACTAGAAGATTAGTACTGTCTACTTACAAGTCACAGTTACACTAACATAAGAAGTCACGGTGGTATTCAGATGTTTTGCTGTACAGATGTACTGTCCAGAATGCTGTGCTGTCACATTTGGAATGGTAAGTGTAGCTGATCCAGTGTCATTATACAGGTAAGTTCCACTATGAAGGTTTGTGTTCGTACTCATTTTTTTCCACACAATAAGAGCTGGAGGGAAACTTTCAATACTGCAGGTCATATTCAGAACATTTTCTTCTTCTACAGTTGTATCGCCAGTGATCTGAAGTTTCCTTTTATCTGTGGGACACACAAGTAAAGTGGGATGAAACAATGAATGTAATACTAAAAAAAACATTAAAAAAATAACCTTTGATCCATACAGTGATGGCATCCAATATTTTTCACACTGAGGGAAATTTTCTGTTTTGGCTTTATTTTTCTCTAATAGTGCTCGCCACTATAGTCACTGAAACACCAAAAAGAGGTAAAATGGTCTTTCATCTATCAAAAACAATACCGAAGCTGACTAACTGTCAGGTTTATAAACGTATGTGTATTAGTGAACTGCAGATTTGAGAAGATTATTGCCGTCTACTTACAAGTCACAGTTACGCTGACATTTACAGTTAGAACTGTATCCAGATGTTTTGCTGCACAGACATATTGTCCAGAATGTTCTGCTCCCACATTCTGGATAACAAGTGTAGCTGATCCAGTGTCATTGTACAGATCAGTGTTAGTTCCATTGTAAGGATTTATATTGGAAGTCAACATTTTCCAAACAATAAGAGCTGGAGGAAAACTTTCAATACCGCAGGTTAGATTCAGAACATCTCCCTCTTTAACGACCGTTCTCCCAGCAATCTGAGGTTTCCTGTAATCTGTGCAGCACATTTACTTGGTTTATTTAAGGAAGGAGACAATAACATATAACCATTTACCACAAAAATATGAGTGAGCTTCTGCACTAAATTGTAGATGCTAATGTTAACAACAAACTAAACTGATACAGTGTCTTTAACATGTGCACAGTTATTTTCTATCAATCAGCATTTAAAGGACAATTTGATTATTGTAGAATCTCACTGGAGGTTTTCTCTTGAATATACACACAATATTTACAATGTTTTCATTTCTATAACTATATTCATTTTCCAGGAATGTTCTTTATGAAAGTAGTGCTGTCTCTTTTTCAGAAGACCGTTTTAAAAAAAAAAAAATTCTTTAAAAGCACAAAATTGTGAACTTACACATCACCCTTACAGTGACTTTCTCCTTCAGAGTATTGTTCATATATTGAGCCGTACAAACATACTGTCCAGCATGTTTTGTTGTTGCATTTAGGATTATAAATGTTGCTGATCTCAAATCACTTTGCAAGTTTGTGTCAGAACTAAGTCTGGACCACCTAATCAGAGATAGAGGGAAACTTTCAACACTGCAGGTCAGATTCAGTGATTCATGCTCCTTCACCCTTGTAACACCACGTATTTTAACTTCTTTCAAGTCTATGAGTCAAAAAGACAAAAAAAAAATAACTTCCTTACATTTTCCTCCCCAAAAGTTGTACAATTCAACAAGGTTCACAACATTTTATGTTTGTAGCAAAGTACTCACAGTTCACATTCAAGGTTGAAGTCTCTTCTGTAATTGTTTCTCCTGTAAAACTGATCTTACAGGTGACGTTCGTGTTGTGATGTTTAGCTGATGGGTTAAAGGTCAAAGTTGAGACAGGACTCTGTGTTACATCAGTCAGATTCTCAGTCTTGTAATCAGTGCTGTTTCCTGTAATGTAAGATTCAGTCCCTCCTGCTCCTCTCCATGTCCAGGTGATTTGAGGAACAGATCCAGAGCAGAGACCAGGAGCAGTGCAGGTCAGTGTGGCCTGCTGTCCCTCAGTCAGTGTGGGAATCATTACTGTGGGCTTCAGCTTAAAACCTAATGGAAACAATTCATTTTTGATTTTTGGTTATACATTTTGGGTGTTTAAGACTTCAAGCATGTTTTTGTTTTAGTCTACATTTTCATACCTTTTACAGAAACAGTCACTCTTGGAGAGAATGAAAATCCATCAGGTTTTCCATTCAGTTCACCAATAACTCTGAGGTGATATGATCCAGAATCAGACTGTTTTAGCTTATTAATGAAGAAGCTGCAGTTGTTCTGGCTCAGATCAGGCTCCAAAAAGGACACTCGTGCTTTAAACCCAGATTGAACTTTAATGCTGTTGTTGGTGTGAAATATCATGATAGGATTACCACATCTTGGTTCAGATACTTCACATTTATACCAAGCTATATGTTTAGGTGTAAAGCCATCACCAGTCCTATAAGAACACGGGATCACAACACAGAGCCCAGCCTCTACTGTTACTTCTCCCTCATTGAGAGTGACACAGTATCCACTGACACAGTGTTGTCGTCCCCGGGCTGAGGCACCTATTAATGCAAGGGAAATATAAAAAAATAGACAGTTTTTAGTTTCAAACAGTAAAAGATCGTGTCTGATCCTTGATACATTACTACTTGAGACAGTAATAATACTAAATTATCATAAATTCTGGTTGATAATAGATCATTTTTTAATCTGGATAAATGTTATGAAACAGTTTTATATGCAAATGTTAAAAGATTATTGAATATCAGCTGAATTAGGAGGTTACTTAGAAGAAGATACAAACTTATGTCAGCACTGCTACATGTCACAGAGGAAAGCAGAGCTGCCAAGATGAGGACAGACATGCTTGATATCCGATGCTCGACACGTTGAATCTCTTCCTCCACTGGACAAATTTGTATTAATGCTAAAAATAAACATTCGGAAATTACATTAAAGGAAAGACTCCAGCTACAGTCACACATCTCATGAAAGTCACATCTTATGTCACATGCTTATTTATGTTGTAATTATGATGTGTACATCCTTTACCGAGGACTACGGCTGCTCCAAAGACTTAATCTTTATATAGTTAAGCACTTAACAGGACAGTTTTATGTTATCTGTATCAATGTATTATACACAGTTAACTCATAGTTATTACAGCAGTAAGATCAATGATAGTTTAGTATAAAATAAATAAGATAAAAACTGGTTAAATAATATAACAAAATATGGTTCATTTGCAGTTTAAAGTATAAACTTGAAAACCATCTTTACCTATTTTTGTCTTGTTCTTGTTCTCTCTTCTGTCTGAACTGATCTGTGCTGACGTTTTAATTCAAAGTTTCTGTTCCTCACTTTTTTCTATTTCTTCCTTCGTTTTGCAACAGGATTTCCAGATGTTTATCAGCATAACACTGAACTTTACAGACTGACTTTGATAAAGTTATTATTACATCACACATATGTATCATACATATCACATATGTATGATATACATATGTTTCATTTCATTGATTGAATAATTAGTGTTTAGTAGGAAAAATGTTCTTTGAGGAAGTAAAACCATATCATTGTGATTATTGCGTTTTTTTTAAATCTTTTAATTTTTTTATTTTTTTTCTGTGATTTCAACAGAGTAACCCACAAATAGAACAACTATATTGCCATTAATGGGCTTTGTCAAAAACTAACATCTGCATGTATTAAAATGGTAGATTAAATGGAGTAAAATACCCAAAATAAAATAAAGAATGCCACTCAGCATTTCCCCATTTCAGCTGCATACAACATCTCTGCATTTTTTTTTTGTGTAACGTATTTGTATTGTGTGACAGCTGTACTGTGTATTTTAACACCATATAAGGCACTGATGTGCTCGCTGTATCTATGGAAACCTCTTGCTAAGCTTGAGGTGTAACATTGTAAGAATAATGTAACAATTCGAGTGTGTGTGTGTGTGTGTGTGTGTGTGTGTGTGTGTGTGTGTGTGTGTGTGTGTGTGTGTGTGTGTGTGTGTCATTCCAGTCTGACAGCTTGGGGGGAAGAAACTTTTCCGTAGTCCTGTAGTGAGGGCCCGGATGCTCTGGTACTTTTTCCAGAAGGCAGCTTCTAAAATCTCAGATGAAATGCGAATCGTTGGACAATTTCAGATGATCTAAAGTACCCCAGTGACTGACTCAGGGTTTAAATGAACTCTCCTTCTGGAACAGAAAGGCCAGAGTTTCCTTCTTTTCTTTTTTTGAGTTGAACTTTTTTCTTGAGTTCTTGTATAAGAAAATAGAAAAGTGAGGGGAGAATGTAAGATTGCTATAGGGTCAACACGTGTGGTGCTTTTAACTTGGAGCCAAGACACCACATGCTTTAAAAAGAATGAGTGACAATTCCAAGTCAATAGCCAGGATTGCAGTATGTTGGTCTATTTTCTAATACCAATGAGAAAATGTGCTGCTGAAAAGAGCTGAAGTAATCTACAGTAGCAGAGAAAACAAAAGCATGAATAAAATTTTCATGACATTTAAATCTGGAGATGGCTGTTATTGAGAGTGTGGGCTTTTCTCATTTCTCTCACATTTTATGCTTCCATTTCTTTCTTCTCCATCCTTCTGCCTGTAATTTGGAAATTTATCTCAGTGTGTTGCCTTAAAGGAATTCCTAGTTCCTAAAATACATCTGGAGGAGATGGGAATGAGGACCTCTGCAGAAGGAGCTATAAGCAAAGATTAAGCAGCAACTTCAGGGGCTGAAAACTGAAACAAACATAAAAGAGTCACCCTTAGTGAGGATGCAGAGGTGGTCCGCTTATCTGTAAAGTATAAAAGAACCATGACACACCAGGAATATAACGCTAAGGGTTAAAATCATGCGTACGGAGTGTGTTAAGGGTTAATAATATGTGTGGATAAATTAAAAACATAAGCTATAAAAAATATTTAAGGTTATGATCATGTAAAAATCACAGATAATTTTGAGTTAAAAGCAGGATGAGTTTTTTTAAATTTTGTTGTGTCTTTAAGTACAGATGCTGGGTTTGGTTGTACTTGACTTATGTTACTCAAAGATGCCACTAGATGGCGCATACTGCTCAGGATAAATGCAAAACCTTGTTAGAGGCAAGTAAATGAAAATAAATAGTATATGAATATATAAAGAGTGTTGATATTTTGTAGCCATAAAATCAAAAATTGTTTATATTCTTTGCACTTTAAGCACTTGTTGGCCATGTCTTAGAACTGATATGCTTTTCCTGAAGAAAATGTTGCACGCTTTGTTTTGTAGGGAAATACGTTACCATACTGAAAAAAGGGAATTTCATCATTACTGTCATAACCTGATTTTGACTGCTGGAATGAGAAAACTGTTGTTTGAGCAAGCAACTTAAAAACAGCCCCAAATAATATGTAAACTGTAGTGTGCTTGTTGAAAGTGAGCAAGCACAGTGCTTGTAATTTTAAGCTGTAAAGACTTTTGTATATTGTTTTAGGAACCCTTACACGTGCATTGTTATTGTGTACTTAAGGAGTGTTCGGGGACTTTTGACATTAGCATTAGAACCATTGAAGCTAGTTATATCATTAGCTTGAAATAGATTGTTTGGTATAAAACAAATGATTTGGTCAAAATAAACATTCTGACTTGATGAACGTGTCGGATAAAAACTCACAAAGAAAATAAATGATCTTATGCAAGACAGGGAAAAAATAAATTTACTAAGCAAAAAGACGTACATTTTTCAGCAAGAATACAAAGCACAAAAAACATGGTTTAAAATGGCATTTTGTGAAAGCACTAAAAGGAAACTCCAAAGGTCATTTGTCACACTTTGGCTGTACACTTTCAAATATATGTGGCCAGACAATGTCAGTGTTGGCCATCTGCCACCTGGAAACTTAAACCGTTAAAAATCTGCAAAATACATCAAGAATACAGTAAAAAAAAAGTTAAGCCACTATATTTACTACTACAGCTGAATGTCATTGGGCAAGATTTTATAGTAAAGAAGTATAGACATCTAAAAATTGCTTAACCATGACATTTTTCTAATATGTGTAATCATTAAACTATTGCAGAGCATTATATTCAGAGGTAACATTTTCATCCCTGTAAGATTTGATTTGTTAATATTTGTGAAGTTTACAACATAGAGATAATTTTAATTCAAACACAAAATGGAAATCCATCCATCCATCAATTACATCTGAAGAGATCAATATTTATCCTTAGCAACTATACAAAAGAATTCCTCAATTATCATCTATTATGTCATTCACAGTGGAGTACACTGCCTCATCTTCCCCTTCCTTCTTTTCTGGTTCACAGTGTTTCATCTCCCCCTCCAACATTTTACCGTCGTCTCCATCATCATCTACTTGTTCTTTTTTTATTATCCTCTTGATTTCAGCGTACTCCGTCTTTGTGCTTTCTTGCGTCCTTGCTGGCTTTGTTTTTAACAGGGAAAAATCAATGGTGGCATATTCCACTTCTTTTGTCCCACTGTTTGAGTTCAGGGTCTGGTTGTTTTGTAATGCTTGACCATCATATATCTGTTAGGTACAAAGTAAATTGTTTCAGTCATTTATCAGCTACAGGCAGCCCAACATTGTGCAAACTATCCATTTATCTAGTGTGTATTCTTTCATGCTTCAAAGGGTGTGAGTTCTGCGCCATATTCTAAGTCAAGCTATCCTATTTGTTTAGTTTCTCTCTCCATCTATCCCTTCCTGCATTGTGCTGGTGTAAGGGGTGCACCTGTAAATTGCTAGGCAGTGTTAAACGTCGCCTAGCAGAATAAAGGCAGCGTCACTTTATTCTGAAGCCTCTGCCTACCATTACAGCTATGCCTTGTTGTCAGCCCATGTTTTCAATGATGCACCTATCTAAAGTTGTATAATATGTAGTGTTCATTAAAGGATTGGCTTTTCATTTCTGGAAAACAATCATCTTTCCTGACACTGTCTTGTGTGTTGTTATTTAGTGTAGTCCTGGTGGACTGAGCTGACTTATTATTGTTTCACCTGATAGCGCTGTGCAGTGAGTGGTTAGTTTGGTGGGGTGGTTTGTTTTAATATAAGAGATGGTTCAGTGTGTGTGTGTGTGTGTGAGAGAGAGAGAGAGATTCCTATCTACATACTATGCATATACATCTGCCTTTATGTAACACAGAGATGTGAAAGATTTTTATTTTTATGCCTTGAAATGATGAGTTTTATCCAGTGGAATCCAGTGTGGATTACCAGCAGCAGTAAGACTTCTTCCAAATGTATGTGAGATATTTGTGCAGAAACCCATTTTATTATTTTAAGTTATATCAAAAAAGATGAATCAACATAAATACCAGTGGGTCATCTGGACGTGTCAGCATCACAAAAGTGTCATTCAAATGTCCAGAACTCGTAATTTCTGTCCTGTAGAAAAGGGCATATTTACAGAAACAATGTTGAAATGAATCTTAATTTGCATCTACACAGAAACATTAATAATAACTACAAAAATAAATTCTGTACCTGTAACACTTTTTGGCCAAAAAGCAAACACCTGATGAAAGAACTGCACCAATCAAAAATGCAATGATAATTTCCAGAAATTGCCACCTAAGACCCGATGACGGCTCTGCACTCAAAGGAAACAACATGAAAAACCTGTTAACTCACATATTGAATTATATGCAGCACACCTAATGGCTAGTCTAATGATTGTCTTAATTACATAGGTCATAGATTACATGGGTCAGAAAATGGTAGTAAAAATGTCAAGTGGTTAAAAATGTTACAGTAAGGGTTTTAATTTAAAACAACAACAACAACCAAACAAAACTTACCATCTTTTTTGGACAAGTTGTTATTGATCAGCAGGTTCTCTCTTACTTCTCCATTTCCATTGTTGCTGACACATTCAACAGTGCTGTTGCCATGGTTTTTTACAGTTACACTGACAGTGCTGTTGACTGTGTGGTTTGATACACTAGTAATGACAGAGTACTCAGTGTGGTGAGTCAACAGAGGCCATTTGATGTTAGGTAAAGGAAAGCCTTCCCTGATGCACACACAGGTCAAACCCTCAGACTGAAGCACACATCCTGAGCCATTCTGTATCTTTGTATGCCCTGTAAACATGTAGTCAGAATCATAAAACAGGACACGCTGCAAGCTATAATGTTAATGAACTTCAGGTTAAAAATACATGCCATCTACTTACAAGTCACAGTTACATCAACATATGAAGTCAGAGTTGTGTCCAGATGTTTTACTGTACAGATGTACTGCCCTGAATGTTCTGATGTTACATTATGGATGACAAGTGTAGCTGATCCAGTGCCATTGTGCAGGTTTGTGTTAGAACTAAGTTTAGACCACACAATCAGAGATGGAGGGAAACTGTCAACACTGCAGGTCAGATTCAGAACATCGCCCTTCCTCACAGTTGTATTCCCAATGATCTGAGCATCCTTGTTATCTGTGGAGAATATTTAGGTGGTTTATTTAAGGAGTTTGGAAACAACACTGGCACATAATCATTCTTCATGGCTTCAACTGCAAAATTAACATGGAAGATGATAAGGCTGCTGATGACATCACTGGTGATGTTATCCAGTAATGTGACAATGTGTGGTACTTACATATTACTGTTATGGTGACGTTTTCCTTTAGGGTATTGTTCATATATGTAACTGTACAGATGTACTGTCCAGAATGATCCGGTTTCACATTTTGAATGAAAATTGTAGCTGATCCAGTGCCATTGTGCAGCTTTGTGTCAGAACCAATTTTAGACCACACAATCAGAGATGGAGGGAAACTGTCAACACTGCAGGTCAGATTCAGAACATCTCCCTCCTTAACAGTTGTATTCCCAATGATCTGAGCAGCCCTGTTATCTGTAAAATACATTTCAGTGATTTCAGTGGTATATTTATGGAGAGGGCAAGTTACACTGACATGTAATCATTCAACCAGAAAAATGAAGGATAAGAATGATAACAACGCGAGTTTAATTAATGCAAAGTGTAAAATGCCACAAATGTAAATAAAATGCAAATTACAATTTGGTCACTGTACAACATCATAATAGGTTTCAAAAGGCTCTTAATACATTTCCTCTTACTTCCCCTGTATAGTGCAGTCTACAGTGTTCCTCTTTCTAAACAAAGTTTTACTCTACATCTATAAATAAAAGATATACATTTGTACATCGTCTTCAACTTTTCAAAACTATTTTAAATGACATTTTTGAAAAATACAAGTCGTCAGTGGTATCACTGTCTAAACATTTCAAAGCCAATATACACAGATGTTGAGATGATATCACATATTTAATGAGGTGTGGCTGTAAGAGTTATTCAAAAGAATTACACTAATCTAAATGCACCATTTCAGATATCAGATGAAACGAATATGACCACTGCTAAAAATCTTCTGCTTAAAAGCACAGTTTTGTACTTACATATCACTGTGATATTGACATCCTTTCTTCAGGGTATTGTTCATATATGTAACTGCACAGATGTACTGTCCAGAATGTTCTGGTTTCACATTCTCAATGACAAGCCTGGCTGATCCAGAATAACTGTGCAGCTTTGTGTCAGAACCAAGTTTAGACCACACAATCAGAGATGGAGGGAAACTTTCAACACTGCAGGTCAGATTCAGAACATCTCCCTCCCTAACAGTTGTATTCCCCATGATCTGATGCGTCCTGTTATCTGCAAAATACATTTCAGTGAGTTCAGTGGTATATTTAAGGAGAGGGCAAGTTGCACTGCCATTTTCTGTTCAATCAGAAAAATGCCCGAACACCCCCCAAAAAACATAAAAAGAAATCACATCTTGCAAAGTTGTGTAGATGTTAACTTGCAGGATAAGAATGATAAGAATGTGTGTTTAATTAATGCAAAGTGTAAAATGCCACAAACGTCAATAAAATGCAAATTACAATTTGGTCACTGTACAACATCATAATAGTTTTCAAAAGGCTCCTAATACATTTCCTCTTACTTCCCCAGTATAGTGCAGTCTACAGTGTTCCTCTTTCTAAGCAAATTTTTACTCTACATCTATAAATAAAAGATATACATTTGTACATCGTCTTCAACTTTTCAAAACTATTTTAAATGACATTTTTGATATTTTTGAAAAGTACAAGTCGTCAGTGGTATCACTGTCTAAACATTTCAAAGCCAATATACACAGATGTTGAGATGATATCACATATTTAATGAGGTGTGGCTGTAAGAGTTATTCAAAAGAATTACACTAATCTAAATGAATCATTTCAGGTATCAGATGAAACTAATATGACCACTGCTAAAAATCTTCTGCTTAAAAGCACAAAGTTTGTGTACTTACATATCACTGTGATATTGACATCCTTCTTCAGGGTATTGTTCATATATGTAACTGCACAGATGTACTGTCCAGAATGTTCTGGTTTCACATTCTCAATGACAAGCCTGGCTGATCCAGAATAACTGTGCAGCTTTGTGTCAGAACCAAGTTTAGACCACACAATCAGAGATGGAGGGAAACTTTCAACACTGCAGGTCAGATTCAGAACATCTCCCTCCCTAACAGTTGTAACACCACTGATTGTAATTTCTTTCATATCTGTGAGATAAAAATACACATTTTACAATCATGTTGTTTCCTTTTCAGAATCTACTGATGATTCAATAGATTTTAAAAAATGCAAACAATAAATAGGAGGTTGCAAAGTACTCACAGTTCACATTTACAGTCAAAGTCTCCTCTGTAGATTTTCTACCTGTGAAGTTGACCTTGCAAGTGACACTGGTGTTGTGGTGTTCAGCTGAAGGATTAAAGGTCAAAGTTGAGATGTGTCTCTGTGTGAAAGACTTCGGATTGTCAGTGTTGAAGTCAGTCCTGTTTCCTTTAATGTAAGATTCAGTCCCTCCTGCTCCTCTCCATGTCCAGGTGATTTCAGGAACAGATCCAGAGCAGAGACCAGGAGCAGTGCAGGTCAGTGTGGCCTGCTGTCCCTCAGTCAGTGTGGGAATCATTACTCTGGGCTTCTGACTAAGACCTTATGGAAATAAATTGCATTAATGAACCTAAATTAACTACCGGAAGTTCATCTAGCACATTAATCTGGGATCAAATAATAAGCTATTTAGTGAAAATGGTAGTTTTGCCAGGAACTGCTGCAGTTCCTACCAGCTACCATAGAGGTCAACAATTCCCCAAAATAATGAATACTTCATTAAGGCCTTAAAAATACTAAATATGTTATTGTACATGACATTTTTCAACATGATTGGCCTTGGAATAGCTTTTCATACCTTTAACAGAGACAGTTACTCTTGGAATGAATGTGAATCCATCTTCTTTCCCATTCAGTTCACCAGTAACTCTGAGCTGATATGATCCAGAATCAGACTCTTTCAGATCGTTAATGATGATGCTGCAGTTGTTCTGACTCACATCAGGCTCCAAACGTGAGACTCGTCCTTCAAACCCAGCCTGAGCTTTTTTGTCTGTGTTTTTGTTGCTGTGAAATATTATGTCAGGTTCACTGCAACTGTGTTGAGATGTTTCACATTTGTACCAAACTGTATGTTTGGGTGTAAACTCATCAGCAGTAGTGAAAGAACACGGGATCACAACACAGAGTCCAGCCTCTGCTGTTAGTTCCCGCTCACTCAGAGTAACACAGTATCCTTTGTCACAGTGTTGCTGGCCCCAGGCTGAAGCACCTGTTAATGCAAAGGGAAAGATAAATATAATGATATATCACAGTAACTTGTATTTTTTACACAAGGTGTTTGTTTGTGCACAGCAACTATAGTTTTCACATTTCATAGTGTATTATATCCAGGTTATGAAATCTGCCTGGATATTAGTTAACAGTATCTCGAGACATATTTCACAAAAGATTAAATTAATTGTTAAAAGCCAACAGATGATAGTAAAGGCACAAATTTATGATGAATTGTGAGTGTTAATAAAATCTTATCATCTGGATAAATTTCAGGAAAAAAAGATTCAAATACAAATAAAGCAGAATTACATAAAATGAGAAGATACAAACCTGTGCCAACAATGCTGCCTTTTACAGAGAAAAACAGATTTGCCCAGATGAGCACAAACATGTTCGATGCTCGAGACGTTCAGTCTCTCCCTCCACAGAATAACTTGTCCAGCAGAGGAGCAGCCTCTGCTGTTAGTTTTTGTTCACAAAGGATAACACCAGTTTTGCAACCTAATTACAAGAATACAGAAGAGTCAAAATGTTTTTTAGCATTGCTGCTCTCAGAGAAAAGTAGAATACCCCAGATGAGAACAAATGTTCGATGTGTGACACGTTCAGTTTATCCCTCCACAGAGAAACTTGAACGCAGATGATGTAAAGATGCAGAAATAAAACAAGGGATTGTCCACATTTTACATAATATATCTTAAAGGATGTCACATAATTTGTTAGCAGTCATATGTATAAACTCGGTCTTAATACATAGCAGTATCATTTAATTAATACAACAACAGAAACAAATGTAGAAACAGTCCACCAGTTTTTTTTGTCCAGCACAAGTAACTTTTGTCAGCAGTGCCATATAGAAGAAAAGGTGGAATTGTATTTATTTATTTTTTACCTTTTTCCTGTGTTTCTCGTTCTCTCTTCTCTCCACAGTGATCTCAGCTGACTGCCCTAGTCGTCTCTATTTTCTGTTTCTTCCTTGTTTTTGCACCAAGATTTCAGGAAGTTTCTCAGCACACGTTTAAATGTTACTGAGCAAGACTGGCTTCAGTAAAAGCACCATCTTATATCACACTGTGTAAATGTATTTCTCACTACTTAAGCACTGAGAAATGCAGCTGTTTTATTTGCTTTAAAAAGACCCTCTACTGCTGAATCTCTGCATAGAGAGTTTTTTTTTCTTCTCTCGATAACTTGAAGCTGGTAAAAATTAAGGAATTGGAACTGGTGAAGAAACCTCATGTTACTGACAGTGTGTGGTACATGTACAGTCGTGGCCGCAAGTTTTGGCTGTGGCATAAAGTTTCTTTTTTGTGTACTTTGCTGATCTTTTGCTGTCACTTGCATTTAATGTCTCACTGTATGTATACATTCAAAACAGAAGTAGCAACAAATCCAAAGGCAACTACCCGACTGTAGGCCACAAATGATCTGAAATCACATTACTGGCACACTGGTACAGCACATGTGAGTGAAAGCTTCACAAGCAACAGTGGTGTGTAAATTCAAGAAACATAAGAAAAATGTTTCCCTCCTGTTTCTCTTTCCCTCCTTTGTGTATTTAATGTGTGTTCCTTTGCTCTTTGTTGCGTTGTCCCCTCACGGTGCTGTGTTTTTCTTCCATGCTCCTGGTAATGTTCTGGTTCTCTGTTTCCTGGTTTTCTAGTTTGCGCTACACGTTTTGAGTTTCTAGTTTAGGTTTCTTGTATTTTATTTTCAAGTTTTTCTACAGCAATAAAGCTGCCGTTTTGAGTTTATTCCTTTGTGTATGAGTCTTCCTTTGGGTTCTTCATCCTGCCTGGCACACATCACATACTTTGACATTCTTGGGGAATTGGCAGATTTCAAAGTTTCATACACGCCTTCATATTGCAGAGTTCACATAAGTAATATTTTTACGTGCATCAAAATAAGTTGTATTTAAAAGAAAATCTCACAATGTCTATGTTACCGTTTTATTTTAATATCAATATTCAATAAGCCAAAAATAACTAAAACTAGCAACATGTACAGTAAATTTAATGGTCAAGACAAAGGGTGTTTTCACATCCTCTTTTAAGCTGAAAGAGAAAAAAGTGTTGAATAGACAGTTGTGTGTGTTTAGCTGTTTCTTTGAACCACCAAGTAGTTCAGAGAAACAGCTTGCCGCTGGCTTTCATGTTGGCAAAATGATTGTAAGTCACATATTTTGTCCAACTGTGCTTCAATGCTGTGGCTGTGTTTGGCAAGACACACACGGACGTTTCCCTTCCTATAAAATTTAAGTAACATTATTACTTAAAAAAATACTCAGGGAAGTTCAGTTAACGCTATGTTTTGGAGTTTGTACGTGCTTTGTCTCTAGGGGCCACCGTATGTAAACATATATAAATAAAACCACAGTTTATTTTTTTACATTAATAATTCCTTTTGTGCATAATTTTATATTTTTGTTAATAATAAATTAATTAAAGCAACAAAACAACCTGAAGAGCCGGTTGGGAGCCGAAAGAGCCAGTTCTCTAAAAAGAGCCGGAAATCCCATCACTACCCTGTTGCAGTGTCTGCTTGTGAGTCTGTCTGTAAGTTCAGTCTGTGTTTCCTGTTTTGTTTTGAAAGTCCGTGTCTCATGTTAGCATGTCTGGTTTTGCTTCCTTTGTCTCGTCAGCCCTGATGCGCCCCAGCTGTTTCCCTCCTGTCTCCCATTCCCTGATTGCTCCTCTGTGTATTTAAGTCCTGTGTTTTCGTTTGTCTGTGTTGTGATTTATCCTCATCTTATACTCCCATATGGAAAAGATATATATAAATCTTATAAAGTTTGTATCTGTCTTGTGTGAAACGTGTATGAAAAGCATATAAGAGTGAAAACAGATATAAGACCCCTTGAAAAATTATATAATGAAACTTGTATGTTTTGGATACTTACTAAAACAATATATGAAAGTAATGAGAAAGTGGCCACTTTCATGAGTAAATCATGTAAGCCTTATATGATTTACTCATGAAAGTGACCACTTTCACTTTCTTTTCCATATGGGCTGTGTGTACTGTCTGCCTATGTGAGTTTATTTTGTAATTTTCAGTTTTGTTACTTTTTAGTTCAGCATTAAAGCTGGTTTTGATTTCACATTTTGCTTCTGAGTGTCTGCACTTTGGGTCCTCCTTACCACCACTCCTCCCTACACACAGCCTTCACATGACATTTTCACCCAACTTAATAGGTCTTGCATTAGTAGGGATTGTGTTTCCACACCAGATCCTTGGAATTTAACTCTCAAACTCTTCCTCTCTAGGTCTTGAATAGTGTCATCTGGTTGGTTAACTCCTAATTACAGAGTAAGATTTCCTCCTTAAACTTCCATAATACACAGGTCCAGCAAAGTAACAAGTTCCTATTCTGTGCTATCAAAACAAATCCACAATAATCCTAATTAAACTGAATCCTTCTTCTGGTAGAATTGAATTATTATAAAAGCAAAACCATTCGGGCCATGTTATATCCATTTTCCTTTAAAATATTCCTCTCTCTCACTGGAGTCTGCTGCTGCAACCAGATGCAACTGTGTTGTACTACCTAGTGATGGGTCCAGCAACACTGACGCACCGGCGCATGTATCAAGCTCACAGAGCGAAACCTGTATCGGTGCGTGTGTCACTTTAAGAAAAAGTCACGTGATCGATACAGCTGCTGTATGCTCATTGCCAACGCTCTAAACTGTGTTTAAAAGGTACCACATCTGCATCTGTCAACGGAATGAGTCGCCACCAAAAAAACAAAAACAAAATAACTCTCGTAAAGAAACAGATAATACATATCTCTCCATAAAAAATGGAGCCCAAAAGAAAAAGAAAAGTTTCTGCTGTGTGGGATCATTTCGATCTTTTAACTGCATATAAGGTAACTGTTTGTGTGTCTTTGTTTCAGTGTAATCTATCAGAATAGGAAAAACAGCAATGTGACATGCAGTGTAAAGTATTTATTTCATTTTATGCAGGTTAAATGTCGCATCTGTTCTGCGGCCAAACATGAAAATGAGAAAACAAACACACTGAGAATGAACACAGCCAGGCCTATATAGACATTGAGCAGTATTATCATCATTTTTTTTTCATTAATATATGTTTTATTATTTTGAAATCAAGCATCTAGGAAGACTGTTTTTGACCAGGCAGTCCTGAATATATATACATATATATATATATATATATATTTTATAAAAGACAATCCCTTAGTATTGTGGAGAGTGTTGGAGAGAACCATTCCAAGATCAAAGGATCCTTTAACGTACCAGGGGAATAGGAAGACATCTTATCCGAACCTTTTCCACCTGGCTTTACAGTTTTTGTGTACCCCAGCTTCATCTGTGCCCTATGAGCGTGTGTTTTCCAAAGCTGAGGAAATGGTGTCAAAAACGCAATGGACTGAATGCAAAAACATTGGATAAACTTATTTTTCTGAATAGAAATTTATAATAAACTCTGAGTCAAATACATTTAAATTGGTAATGTTACATTCACAATACCTTCATTTTAATTTTCACTTAATGTCATTCACAATATATTTTAAAGATTTCTACAATATTTGCAATGTAAAAAATATAAAATGATTCCATGGAAAGTACAATACCTTACAGTGTATACAAGTATGACTAGGTCATTGAATCAGTGCCTGTTGTGAGTCTCAAGTAAGTTGCCTGCAATGATATTTAAGGCCCAGCAGGTGACAGTATGGAGCAAAACAGCAACACTGTGTCGACTCAGTATCGATACAGCTTGGGGAATGTGCTGAAATGCTTCACAAGGCCTCATCTACCCATCACTAGTACCACCTCTCTCCTTCCTGCTTTCTCTTCCACACTCCTCTTTGTTTCTCCCTTTTATAGAGAAGGGCCACAAGCTACACCAATCAACTATTCCCAGTACTCAACTCAAAATAGCTGGCAGCTGGACTAGACTAAAATCTCCACTGCCACTTTCGTGTGGCTTATATTTTACAAAACACAAACAAAAGCGTCCAATAATTGAACAGGAAAATATTCCTCACCTAATGTTTCATGGGAGATTCTGTCAGTTATTCCACCATGCCACATTTTACAACAATGACAAAGAGGAACAGTAGAAAAACTGTGCTATAACTGACTGACCCCAGAGAGCTAGTGAACTGATCTGATCCATAAAGAGGTAGAATAATTGTAGCCTTGTTAGCTACAACCTGCTGAACTTACAAAGATAAAAGAAAAGAGCAATATATTTGTATAATGGTTTAGGTTTTAGGTTATTAATTAGTTTAAAGTTAGTCTGTTTTGAGTTTCTTCTATTCCTTGTTTAGTTTCTTGTTTATTATATGTCCTTGTGTCTCTGTCTTCTGCTTCACTCTCAGTGTGTCCGTGTTGATGCGTGTTTGTGTGGGCATCCTTGTGTCTTGTTATAGAGTGTCTCTGCTTTCAACTAACACTTCCTCCACAACAATGGCAAAGAGGAATAGTAGAAAAACTGTGCTATGTGACTGACCCCAGAGAGCTAGTGAACTGAGCTAGTGAACTGATCTGATCCATAAAGAGGTAGAATAATTGTAGCCTTGTTAGCTACAACCTGCTGAACTTACAAAGATAAAAGAAAAGAACAAAAAAAGCTCAATTTGCAGCTGTAGAGAGGTGAACAATTTTATTAAACTCTATGTATAAATTGAAATAGAAAGTGTAATTTGTTACATATAAAATAAGCTCATTTATTTACAATGCAATGTAAAAAATTAACAAATATTAAGCTTTAATTTAATAGCTAATTTAAATTAAAATTTGTAATACCATAGTATCTGCTTTAATAAAGACAGTGAAACTAAATTAAGTACATCACCAAAGTATTGACTACAGGCTGCCATTAAAATCACACAGCTATCTGAAACCTGACTTTTTAGTTTATATGGTGTGCAATAACATCATAATCTGATGATACATCTGCTTTTTGCAGTGACATGTAGGTTCTCTCCTCCTGATGTAGGTTCACCTTTTTTCTTGAATTCCTTTAATAAGAAGAAACAGAAGCCAATCATCGTCTAAAAGTCTTGACTGCATTCAAAGAGTCAAAAAAACATAAAAATACATGTGAAGAAACATACCAAAGGAACCATATGTAGGTTATGCAGAAGACATTCAAAGTGAGAGATACACCAGCAACAATCCAGGGAAGAACTGTACTGTAAGAACCACAGTGTTTCACAC